TCTACTGATCAGACTGATTTATCCATCCCGCTTACTTTCCTGCAGAATAATGAATCGATGCGTTCCACGTTCAGGTGAAACACACGTTGAACAGCTGACTTCACTTTATCTCCGTCAGAAAGCCCATTTACTCTCCAAATTGCTTTTAGCTGAGAAACAGTTTTGTTATTGAAGAAAATGTGTTGAGATGGAGCAGATGTCTGCGTGTCTGTCAGCCTGAAAGAGACGGGCTATTGAAACAGTTTGGAGTCGCTGAACTGAAACGCTTTCTGACAGCCGAGTGAAACCGCAGTCACAAATAAGTTGCTATCAGAGCCAGTTAAAAATATGGAGTAAAAGCTTTTTGATTTCAGAGAGGCTGAGAAGGAATCACATGGAATTATCTTTTGTATTTTCTGCAGGTTTAATGCCCTAATCTGTTCTTCACAAACAGAGCTTACTTTACAACCAACTTTTTCATGTTTAAAGGTCCATTTATCTTTTGCCCCTGGGATGGGAACGTCTCTCAATTGGTCCAAATATCTCAATAATTATCGAGTATATTGGCTTGAAATTTGGTACCAACATTCGTGTTCCCCTGAGGATAAATCAAACTACCTTTGGTGATACTCAGACTTTAACTTCAGCTGCACAAGGAGCTTGACATTTGTGGTTTTGAGTGAAATGATTTGATATTTATTGCCTTGAAATGTCATGCTCCCCTCAGAATGAACTGTAATAACTCAAGTGGTGCTCTGACTTCATATCGAACATAATTATCAAGTCAACATTTTCCTGTGTCCAATACTTTTGTTCATGACTAAACACATGCAGCACTTCTAACCAAGAACGACATTTTTAAAGACTCTTGCATGTGTAAAGTTCTTTTTTGTGTTTTAATGGGAAATATCCTGTAGTTTTTGTAGAATGTTTTTCTAGCCTAGTTGAGTTATTTCTCAGTGCTGTGTCTATTTTACTTTCTCCCATAACCTTAAATCAGTTGTAACTCACGGTCTGTTGGATAGTGGCAGTGTTTCACTATGAAATACTGATCAACACATCTCACAAACACACAGTGACAGGATGTGGCTCTTCCAATGAGGTCACCATCGAGGTCTGTGCAGTCATGTTACATGTCACTATTGATTATTGAGCGATGTTTGGCAGATCAGCTGTTACGTATACTGTATGTACTGTACTACATCTAAGGTTAAATAACTGTTCAAATGGAGCTTTTCTCTTTGTTTAAAGCACAACAACTCCATTTGAAAGATATCTTATTAACATGAGGCTACACACATGTGACATTTCAATATGGCAAATGTCATTTGGCAATTAACCACATGAAAATGATTACCTCGCCTCATGATGCAATCACACACCATCCTGAACATGTCATGAAGAGGCAGAAACACATGCTCCACTTTAAATGAAAGTTGTTTGCTGTGTTATTTAAATACCGGACGTAAATCATGATAAGTAAAAGTTAAAGGCCCCGTATTATACTGTTTTTCATCAATATATTACAGGTCTCAGATATATCCAGAGCCTGTCTCTGATTGGCTGAAACACCAAACAGATCATTGCAGCATTACCCATAATCCCCTCTGTTTCAGCCCTGTTTCCAAAGTGCTGATTCTCTGTCTGTAGCTTTAGATGAAAATAAGGAGCTCCTCCCCACGCCCCTCTGAGAGACATTTAGTTTAAAAGAACACAATGGTGCTTTCACGCCAAGTACTTTTCCCAGGAATAGTTCCCACACCTTAGTTCCCCAGAAATCTTTAGTTCCGGAACTATGTAGTACAGGGGTGGGGAACCTCCGGCCCCCGGGCCGTATACGGACCGCGAGACCATTTGGTACGGCCCTCGAGGTAATTCATAAACACACGCAAAAAAGAAAACAATTTAAGAAATCTAGACCGCGAAAAAATTAAACAAGCGAGTACCTGTTTTTCCTGGCCAAGGTCAGGGTCCTTGAACGCAACAAGAGCCTAACGTGTCATCACGTGGTATATGTGTCGTCTGACAGGGGTGCAGTTCTGACGGAGAGCACCAGAACGCTGCTCCTCCTACACTTCACAAAATGCAGTACCCATAAGGAGCCGTACACATGCTGCAGTGTCTGCGTGGCTGTGTCTCTAGTTGAAAGCCCAGTGGCGTTCTGTTCATCTGTGGCGATCTGTCATACTGATCATACAGTCAATAACTTTGTTGTTATTAGCATCTGGTTAGCTAGCTATGCTAATGAATATAAGAAGCTTTTTCTACAACCAGTGAGGTAAAGGCAGATCTTTATATGATCATTATAAAAAAATAAGAGAATAAAGTAAACAGGTATAAAATACTATGACAGTAAAAAAAGTTGTTATTAATAAACAAGAACACCGTTTAGAAAGGGGGAGCGATTTGTAAAATATACCATAAAGA